CACCGGCCGGAGAGTAGTACACAAAGCGGCAGGGGAGGGGAAGCCTAGCAGGCGTGCACCGCGCAGTGAGATCACTGGCGTTATAAATATCCCAGTGCCAGCGCCGGGCTCCGTTCGGGTGGCCTCTCTCTCTCCCCTTCTCCCTCTCTCTCCCCCGAGGCTATGTCCGCCCGGCGCGGCGAGGGGGGCAGCGCCAGAGGCACGCAGCCGCGCGGGGGCTACAGAGCCCAGAGCCAGCCCTACAAGATGCACTTAGGACCCCCGCGGCTGGAAGAATGAGCTTGTCCTTCCTCCTCCTCTTCCTCAGCCACCTGATCCTCAGCGCCTGGGCTCAAGGGGAGAAGCGCCTCGCCCCCAAAGGGCAACTCGGACCCGCTGCCACGGAGAAGATCCCGGGAGGCTCCAGCAGCCGCCGGAACAGCAGTAGCACCACGTCTTCCTCCGCCTCCTCCCCCGCGACTCCTCCGGGCAGCCCAGGAAGCGGCTTGGAGCAGAGCAGTTTCCAGTGGACGCCCTCGGGACGCCGGACTGGCAGCCTCTACTGCAGAGTGGGCATCGGTTTCCATCTGCAGATCTACCCGGATGGCAAAGTCAATGGCTCCCACGAAGCCAATATGTTAAGTAAGTTGCTCGCTCTCTGGCAAAACCTGTCCTACGCGGGTGGCCGGACACTGGGGAGGGACAGCCGGTATTCCCAGGGCCGCCGGCTCACCTACCGAAGCCCCGGCCGTGGAAACAGCCTGGCGGGTGGGGTGGAGACGCGTTTGTGTGGAGTGCACACACGCACCCCACTCGTGGGTAAGGAATGGCGATCCCTGAAGTGTAGCTCCCCGGAGGCTGGTGCACAGAGATAGGTACCTTGTTTCCAGTTTGCTCTGGTCCCGAAGAGGAGCCTCCAGCCCGTGCCTGGAAAAAAACAAACAAACCCAAATCTCCTCCTTTCTCCCCCTTCAGTTTCTCTTTACTTTCTGCTGCTGTTTACTAGGCTAGCATTTGTCATTAGGCATCAAAGTGTGTCCCTCTTCCTTACCCATCACTTGTTATTTTTTTAGAAGAATAAAACTGACATAGCCCCTGAACCACCACCATAAACCCCCAAATAATATGAATATATATAGTATTTAACATACATGCATACGTATGTCTATTGTGTATGCGTATGTGCACATTACGTACATATAGAGTAATGTATCTGTATATTCTAGGGAAGGCAGTGATCTGGCAAACTGGACACGTTTAGAAAGGGCATCGCTGTGGACATTTGCATTTTAGCTCTAAAGTTGGGTTTAGTAGCGTTTCATATCTTGAGACCAAGAAAGTCAACACCTTTCGAAAGAGCAGTTAGCCTTTGGCCCCCAAGAACAATTAGGGTCAAGTTCTTTATTTTAAAAGAAATTCAGAGGAGGTTCAATTCGGTACAGGTGCAAATTGTGTAGGTTTTTTTTTTTAAGCCAGGTTTTACATTTTCTGAGTTTTCGCTTTAGCTCTTTCTTTCGCTACTTTCTCATTTCTCTTGTCTTTCACTCGGCCAGCATTTGCAGATAACACCTCCCTCCTCCGCTTCCTCTCGCCGCCCCAGGCAGCTGGGGGTGTGCGCGGGCTGGGGCGGTCCCTGCCGGGCTTTCCCTCCGTGGGGCCCCATCGCTCTTCCAGCGGAGTCAGTCCATCAGGTAGAACCCCCGCTCCGGCCCGGACCACAGAAAGGGGAGAGGTATCCCCGAGAGAGCGCTGCTGTCACGGGCCCAGGAGTGTCAGCCTGGTAGCTCCCAGGTGTACTTCCATCTCCACCCTCGGGAAGTTCCATTGTTTTGACCCCTTACTGTTTTCCTTCTGCCTAGAGCAATGCCTGGCCCTCGGAAATTGCTCACTTAATCTGTTGAGTGTCTACATTCCTCACTTAAAGATGAGGAAACCGGCTGGGAACTTGCTCCGGCTCAAACCCAGGACCATACAGGCAATAGGGCTTCTGGTCCTCCGGGCTCTGGAGGAGCGCGGGTGCCACAGGGGGACTGACCTTCAGAGTGGAGGTGTCCACGACGGTGGGGGGACCGTCCGGCCAGCCTCTTCCCTGGGGCTCAGGAGGCAGGAGGCGGGGTAAAAAAAGATCTCCCGGCTGCGGGGTTCTCTCCGGAAGAGGGGCGGGTCGCCGCCCACCCCCTGCCGCAGACTAGCGGCTCAGGCTGTGAGCTCCAGCTGGCTGTGCTGCACGTGGCGAGTGGCCTGGGCACACCGGAGAGAGGCCCTCCACGTGCGCCTCCCCAAGTCCCAGGGCCTCCCACACGCTTCTTAGAGGAGCCCGTTTCTATGTTTTAAGGTTCATGTCACCATGATAAAAGAACTCACCATCTTTGGTGATAGAGCGAAGGAAGGGGACTTTTCTGAGATTTCAGGAGCAGGAAAGTTAGGTCTCTTTCAGTAATTTCATTTGCCCTTATTTTGTCCCACGCAACCCTTTGCTCCATCAGACATCAGAGCTCAGTGCCCACTGCTAGGACTCTTTCCTCCTTTATCTTACGGAAAACCTTTTTTTATTCTGTTCTTGTAGTTTATCTAGGAAATTAGTACCACCAGAGGGTAACTTCTGGGTTCCCAAGGGCAGACCCAAAGTTAGCATGCGTCAGACAGCAGTTTGCATCCCAGCGAATTAAAGAATGTCTGGAGTGTGTTTCATGTGCTAGGTATCTCTGAAAAACAGACTTATTCCCAAGACATTCACCCTCTTCTCTTGGATGGAACCATATAGACCTAAATAAATAAATAAATAAATAAATAAATAAGCAAATGCAGCTTAGGCCTTGCCCAACGGGAAGTTGTAGAAAAGTATAGGAAGGAAAATGTGAACAGCCCAACAAAGAATATTTTCAGCTGCAGAAGACATTGACCAATATGTTATTTCTAAGATCTAATTTATTTTAAAATTCACTTTGAAAAATGTCTACAAAAGAACAGGGATCTTTTCTAAACAGTGACTAAAAGAACTTTTTTTAAACTATCACTTTCCTAATTAATTCCAATTTACCATAGCCTTTCAGAGTTTAGTCTGTGTGTTTCACATGGCACGTGATCATTCATTCATCCATTCTTTCATGCACCCAATATAGGATACCTATTTCACCCAGCCTGATATTTTGGTTACTACTGGACTCATGGGGGGGGGGTATCTTTTTGTTTTTGACTACCATAGTTTTTTGTCAGAGGAAATAATAGCTGAAGTGTTCAAATCATGGTGACTTTTCTGCTTTGTGATGCCTGGAGTGGCCAATACTACTTCATAAGATTGTGCTACCATTGATTCATGAAGAGTGTATGGAATATGTCATATTTACTAGAATGGCATGTAATTTGGAAATTTAAAATGAGTCTCTGCCCTTAAGTAGCTGTGAAAGAGAAACAGAAGCCTGGTAATTACATTTGGCCACATACACCTTTGAAGGCACAGCACTTGATGGTTTCCTGACATATGTAAACTAAGGCATTGGTCATGGACTGTTGGTTAAAGTACACGAGGAAGCATTTGTCTAAGTCTCACAAGAGACACTGAAAAAGCTGGTATCACACAGGACAATAGAGGATACATCAGAAATTTAACTCATCACCTAATTCTACTGTCTGTGAGTGAGCAATGACAGAAAACATTGTGTGTGTGTGTGTGTGTGTGTGTGTGTGTCAGCTTGCTACTTCAGAAAAGAGTCAAAACTTTGCTATGAAACTGCAATCTTTTAAACTCAATAGTTTTCTGTGATATTTGTGAGAGCAAACATATATATCACAACTATCATGTGACATAAACATTTTTGCAACTGTGAATGTTTTCTAGTTTTACTGTCAGACGTACACACTAGCCATAGATTTTTGAAATAGAATTTGTTTAGTTAAAATATACCACTGAATATATTCTTAATTTCTCTTATACAATAGTTATCCCAAGTTTTGAAGACAGAGAAAAGAATCAAGCTTATTGCACATCTACTCTTATTATGGGGAAATATTAGGGAAGGATTAAGAAAAATGGGACAAAAATAGATGATGAAATCCAATTATTGAATAGAAACAAAGGCTTTGCTTTAATTTATATTGATTAAGGTTAGTTTCAATACAATGCTTCTGCTGTCTTATATTGGGCTATTAAAGCATAGCCAATTATGTATTTCTCAATTTAGGGACCAAAAGTTTAATACTATATAGAAAATCAAAGTCTTCATATAAAATATGAAAATTCCAATCATATATTTTGGTTAAACTGAATCTTTAATTTTACTGGTTTTCAGAAATCTAAATTCACTATCAATTTTGATGTTATGTAGAGTCAACCTTTATATAGTCTCCCAAATCTAGATAAAGCAGAATCTGTATCTATTGCATAGAAAAACTCAATTAGTTTGTGTTACTAATCTAATCAGATAAACTGGATATTTAAGACTCAGACTTTATAATGACATAGCACATCTGTTGCTGTGTGAACAAAAATAGAGAAACTTCAGTTTTAAATTATTTTTCTTTGGGGATTTTCAGATGGGCTGTTGAAGGCTTTTAATTACATGGAGTATCTGCGCCTTATTAGGAACAGAGAGAAAAGAAAGAAGCCTATATAATTATATTAGTTGTCTCTACTAGAGTCCTATTGTTTTAAAACATCTGGAGCAGACTAAAAAATCTAGGTATATATTTTCTTCCTGAAATATACTTATTTTGCATTGCATGCCTATGCTTGTAAGTGCATTAAACAGTGTGTGTATAATCTGAGAGACACCAAATGTTTGCCTCCTTCAACCTAGATGTCAACCCCAAAATTCCCGTATGAAAATTCCTTCTGTGAGCACTACACTTTTCCTTTGATCCTCTTAAATGTGACTACCCTAGGAAAGATAACATGTTGTTGCTAGCACTCTAATGTGAATTCATTTATACTGATCTCTATTCCCTTGCTCCACTCCCCAAGCAGGAGAGGGCCAACATAGCAGGAGAGTGTTAAAATATGGATGTGTGCATGTGGGTGTCCTGAAAAGGGAAAAGCGGGTCAAAGAACACAATCCAACTTAGGGAACATTCATTGACTATCTGTGATCTGTGAGACGCAATTTGCCTTACACACTTTTGCTTAAGGATACCATCCCGGCATCCACAATGTAAATTGCAAATTTTCATCAAATTTATTATTACTGACTCACAACAAGAGTTAGGAAATTACTGAAATTAAAAAAGAATCCATTTTTGAGAAATGTTTCTTGGGATTTATATATGTATGATTTAATGCAGATAGATTTATTATATAGTATATTATGCAAAAAATCTTTAGTGAGTTACTGAGATTTGGCATAGTAAAATCATAGTAATCTCTTGGGGAGGCAGGAAGTTGAATTATAGGGCTTATAGAATCTGCTCTAATATTTTAGAAAAAGAGACTGAAATTACTTTTGAATTTCTGATTTTACCAACATTCACAATATTATACCATAATTACATTAAGATTTAGAAGGTGATACCAAAGTTGCCTATGTGAAAAAACTATTATTTTATTGAATCTCGTGTCTTCCCTTGTGGTCCTCATTATTTTAAGTAGAATGATATATGTGAAAGTATTTTTTAAGCTTTCAATTAGATACAATTTTCTTAAAATGATAAAAATCCTTTCATTCTCAGACAATCTATAATTTCAATAGTGGAACTTACATGAAAAGAAACCATGCAGTATGTAATAAAATAATAACAATTCACATATATTATGAATTTCATCTCCCTCATACATAAAATTCATTATAATGAAAATTTTACATAACCTATATCCACACAGAATGTACAGTTGTAGAAAACAAGTTGAATGTGTGAAAATGGGTCTTTCTTAAAAATAGAACATGTTAGTTGTTGAACCCAATAGTTTACATAGGCAATGTTTCCACTAAACACATATTTTTTGGAGCCCTTTTATTTTGACCTCTTAAATGTTAGCATGCAAACACTTAGTGAAATTTTTATCTTTTATGCTGCCATGTATTTTTTCACTAGTACAGAATACATTTGCATTTACAAAACCAGGTAATTTTCCAGAGAATGGAATGAAACACCTCTACCAATGTAGAACCATGGGTAAATTGCAGCCCAGTCTCTTCTATGCACTCCATATTGTCTCCTTTGCAGCTATCATTCACACCTAGACAGTTTCTCATGTTCTCCCTATCTCACTTTGTAACATATTTACACCGTATTCACATTACATTCCCCATCTCTCAGATATCTAAAATTACTAATACTCTTTGCAAGATCATTCTGTAATTTTGATAGAAATATAATTTTGCATCAGATATCTATTTATGCTTTATTAAACATGCTACATCCTATAGTGTTTTTAACTTTACAAAATGTTCTGTATACTTTGTTACCATTTGATAAAATGATAATGCTTCTAAATCTTTGGATGTGCATCAAAGTCATAATTTATATACAAAAATCCATTAGAAATAGCATTTTGAAGACATTTTGCAATAAAGAATTTGAGATAGCAGTTTCTTTCTAAAAGCAAAAGAAGTTTCTTTTAAATAGTTTTGGGGTGTTTTTTTTCCTTCTAAAGAAACACCTATTACAAAATCGGTAGCTGCAGTTTCTTGAGATGTGTTTTTTTTTTTATTCTGGGTTAAGAACATATAACAAAAACATAGTTCTGCTACTCCTCCCCCCCATAAGCTTTCTGATCAAGTATTATTCAGAATTGAGTTTAATAAATAAGCAGCAGTATTTGCTGCAATTCTAGGTATTAGCTCACTTTGTGCAACGTAAGTGCTCAATAAAGATATTCATATGTATTTATTAAATATATATGCGTATCCACAATACCACTTTTTTGTAAACTGAACAAATTTATATGTATTTAAAATACTCCAGGGGGAGATTATTTTGAGAAAATCGGGTGAAATATGCTCAAAATATTAAATATTGAAAAGTTGAACTTTTTCCCCTTGTCATTCCCATCTTTGTTTCCTTCCTTTCTTCCTAAGACAGGTCCCTTTGTTGCACCAATGAACTATATTATTTTGTTCTTTTTTCTTTTTTACAATTTGATGTAGGCAATTAACAAAAAGCACTATGCTTTTCTTGTGTTCATATAACACAGGAAAAGAGGCAGGAATTCCAGTTATATATAGATTGAGTCTCATTTTTTAAAACGCTCTGTGAACTGTGGTGTGTGATTTTCTTGACCAAGTAGATGTGGGCTTTCAAATTATAGGAGACAGAGGAACTTCGACTTGTTAATGTTAACTCTGAAATAGCAAATATAAGCATTAACAAAATAAAATACCTCATTAAATTTTTTCCAGAAAAGTCATCCAAAATGTAAGTTGTCTCAAACCATAAACCATTAAACACCTCACTGAGCCAATACTCCCAAGTGATTACATTGCCTTTAGTATCTTGTTATGTGTAATCTTTAAATAAGCTGCTCACTAAATGATCGAGTTGGTATATATGGATTTGCATTTTTATAATGATGGTAGTCTGAGAGGATGGTTTTCCTTTAAGTAAATAAGTATTGTTTTTAAGGCTTTCACCAGTTTATGCTCATCTTCAGTACAGATGTTATGTGCTTTAATTTTAAAGAGCGCATTGTCTCTGATAGAAAAACAATGCATGAGAATCATTTTGAAAAATAGTTTTCAAAGCCCTTCAATTTCTTTAGAACTTGAAAAGATTCTATTGTCAACCATTATTTACTAAAAGGGACTGTATGAAAAAAAAGAATTATTAATGAAGTTGAACTACATTTTTGAATCTTGAAATCTATCATTTTAAATGAACACTTGATTGCTAGCCTCTTTAAATAATGAATATAACAAAAACTGTTAAATACTTTTTCAAAAATTGCATTAGTAAAGAATGGAAAGAATTTATGTAGAAATTTAATTCTTCACAATGGTATATGGAGGCCTCTGTGTTTTATTTTGGGATTTCTGTCATCCTAGGTATTTTGGAAATATTTGCTGTGTCTCAGGGGATTGTAGGAATACGAGGAGTTTTCAGCAACAAATTTTTAGCGATGTCAAAAAAAGGAAAACTCCATGCAAGTGTAAGTAGAACCACTTTATATTTGTTAAAGGTGTTACGGAGATTTTACATTTGTACAATGGAATGAAGTGACTTTCTAAATTAGTTAGTAGGTAGGAAAACTTACCCAGAGAACTTAATGTATATAGTTTTTGTAAAATTATATGTATTTTTAACCAAAACATTGTATGTGTTTTTGTAAGTACTCATGTAAATATTTTATTTACTTGAAAAGATAGAGTCCACAAAAAATTTAAGGATAATTGCATTTGAAAATAACATTCTCCAAGTGATTGCCATTATTTATTCTTTAAAAGTTGTCCCAGTGAGAGAAATATTATGAAAATAGCATATTACATAACATTTTAAAAATGTATATATTTATGATGATTGTGTGTTTAGTTGATCAGGTTTTTTTTTAATTTTACAAGTTATTCATGATGTCAAAAATTGGGTCACAGTAATATAACATATTTATATTTTAATAAGTATGGAGGGAAGAAAGCAATAATTAGACCACTTTGACCCTATATAGAGAAATTTTATTTGATCCATTTGTGAAATACTCATCTTATATTTTTGTTGCATCAAAAACAATTTTTAAAACTATGAAGACTTAATTTTGCACTCATAAACATTTCTTCAGATCATATACATTTTGTAAGCAATTTATAAATTATAGATTGCTTTGCTTTGTTCTGAAAATGTTGATTACTCGAGAAGCATTAACACATTTTAAAGATAATAAAATATGTTTAGCTTAGTTTTCCTACACACAGATTCTGTTAATTTCTATTAGTACATATGCACAGCACTTAAAAATAATTTATGCTTTTTCTATAGTATACTGTTTTGTCACATTTAAGTCATTTGAAAAAGCAAGTCTTTAATGATAGTCCTTTAGTCCTTATTCCCTTTCATTCTTATTACAAATTAGAGAAAGATCACTTTTCCAGTTTTTCAAAATATATAGGAAGTTTTAATTGAGTGAAATTTACTAATTATGATTTCTACTTTACAGACCTTTAAAAAACTCAGTGAGAACTCCATTTGATTCAGCGTGTAAGACTTTTAATTTTCCTCCCCCTACCATCTAAATGTGATTTGTTAAATACCACTTGGAGGAGGCAGTAGCATTCAAGCGATTTCTACAGTTATTTGAGGATTAAATGAGATAACACATGTAAAGCTTTTAGATCAGTGTTTGGTACATTGTAAGTGCTCAACAAATATTACTTATTAGTATGTGATGATCTAAATATAATAATCTACTGAAACTTCAGCTTATGAAGATAAATGAAAAACCTTTTTAAATCCCCCACCACCAGAATTATTTACCTAGTTTATTTTCTGAGCTGGTTATTATATTCTAGTAAGCTATAATATAGTATTCATAAAATAATTGCTCTTTGATTTTCTAAATTATTTTGAGGGGCAAATTTCTGCTGGCTTTGGAAATGTAGGACATGCCACTTTATTTTTAAATTCTGATTTTGAAAAATCCACATATAGAATAGAAAACAATGACCAAACATCTGCACGGAAAAACTTCTCTTCATTCAACTTCAAGCTTATAAAAGGTTGAAACGCCTTCAAAATCCATCAGAAAAATATGCAGTATATGTATAAAAACTTTCTCTTACTAGTTTGTTTTGGGTGAAAATATTGATTAATTTTTTTTCATATTCATGCCCTAATACATGAAAAAAAATAGACTAAACTTAGGCCAGCTTAAGGATAATTGCCACAGAAAGCAAAGTATTACAAATGGATGCCAATTAGAAAGGTCAAACTGAGAGGTTAGGATACATGATTCCTCTGTCAAAAGCAAGTAACAAATTTCCCGAAATTTGACCCAAATGTCTAAGGATGGCTGGCTGAAGTAATGCAGATAATGCAAAAACAGCATCTGTTATTCTTTCTCATCTTGGCAGGCTAAAGTTATTTCATGGAATAATGACTTTTAAACAGTACAAAGCAAGCCTTGCTCTTGTCACTCACAGAAACTCTTTGATATAAAAGTCATTCTGATGACTTTGAGCTGAATTGTAGATAAAAAATTAAGCCCCATGATTATGCGGATTCTTTTTAAACCAATTGTCTAAGCCCACTTTTTCTTATCGGAGCTTTTATTAGCACTTTTTTTTCTAGCTGGAAACCTAATTAAATTATAAAGTGATTCATTTTGAAGGAAGTTGAATTTAGAAATAGTATTAATCCTAGCAATTATCCGTTTTAATCCCAGATGTTTTCTTTCCTGTTATCAATTTCTAGTTAAACATGTTGAAAAATTGTTAGTGTAACTTTAATATACTTACAGTACTTGAATTAGCTGTTTTACAGCTAGTTGTATGATAATTAAAAAGGCTAAAAAACCTTACATTTTTAGGATTAAATGTGTAATTTGTGATTTGTTTCAAATTAATAATTGTGTAGAGGCATATAGTGAGTATCTTTATAATAATTTTCACACACACACACACACACACACACAAAGTCCTCACTTAATGTCATCAAGAAGTTCTTGGAAACTGCAAATTTAAGCAAAACTATGTATAAGGAAACCCATTTTACCAGAGGCTAATTGATATAAACACAAGTTAATTACTATGGCATATCTCATCACAAAACTTCTAAATAAAGACCCCAAACACTTCTAATATGAAACATGGAAAGAAATGTGAGCTATACAGATATTTAAGAAAGATTAATAAGAACAAGTAAGATCATTCTTTTACAAGCCACTTATTCAGTTCAGGGTCGCGCAACAGCTCAGGGCTCAGGACAAGAACACATCATGGCCTGGACACCCTTCCACTGAAGGTGCAGTCACGCACACCCACACTCACCCACACTCACCCACACTGGGACAATCTAGACTGTTCATCTCAAGTGCACGTCGTTGGGATGTGAGGAGACACTGGAGTCCCCAGAGAAAACCCATACAGACATGATGAGAATGTGCAAACTCCACACAGACAGTGGGCCCAACCCAAAATAGATTTTTTTCCTCATCAGCGCTATAATAAAATGATATGGAAGGAAATAACATTATTCGAGGACCTGCTCTATGTATAGAATCATCGCGTATATCTTAAACTTACACAACTTATATGCCAATTATGTCTCAATAAGATTGGAAACAATTTAAAAATTAATAAAGACTACTTTTAGAGTTTTACCTATAAAGTAAATGTGAAATAAACAATGTAAAGTATTCATATAATTATGGGGAAAGTAAATCAATAGTCTATTGAGAAACATTCATGGATAATTGTACATAGATTCTCAACCTGGTTTTTATATTAACAATTAAATATCAGTTACTAGATAAAGATAATGTATTTGCAGAATTCTTTAAAAGCTCTTTGACTCATAGCATCTTATTACATAGAGGAAGAGTCTCAGAGATATTTAAATATTTCCCTAAGTTAACACAGTTAAGTGATTGAACTAGACCTATATCCTTTTAAAATCCTGTCTTTCTCTTTACAGGCTATAATGCTGATAGATAAAAGTTAGTTTCCAAGAAGATACTATGTTTTGTTTGGAACTAATTACATTGTTTTTACCTATTATTTTATAAGAATTAATAATTTCATGATTTAATAATACTTTTTATATTACATTTTAAAGAACAAATACTGTGGTTTATCTTTAGAATATTTTGCTTATCCCTCCCCAATTCTCCACCCCCCCCACCTAACACCATTTCTCTCTCTTATATTCTCTCTCTCTCATTCCAAGCTCTTTTTGAAATATTTTACACATCTACTTCTGTATTTCCCCAATGCTTGCTTTTAAAATCTGGAAAAAGGGGGATGTGTTTGCCACAGAACTTATCACTGAGTTTGACAAATGTTGGTTATTCAATGTGATGATGACTTTCTTAGAGAACCCCCGTTAAGATGAACTTTCAAAACAAAGAAGAGATCTGTGCTGTCCACAGAAAATCTTCATTTAGAAAATTCATCATTGCCAATGGACACAAAGATGGGAAATAAAAGTATCAGCCTAGAATGGTTAGACTTAGGCAGCATTTACTCTGATTTATTTTGTGTGCTAAGTTTGTTAACTCTGTTAGAAGTTTTCTTTGAACTTCAACCATCTTACTATGCACTGCTCCATGCAACTCATCCAATGTGCATGCATACTCTTACTAATCTACATGCAGCTCTCCTTAAAACCTCTGCTAGTATAATCTAAATATACAATGCAATCAAATCCTACCATGCAGGTTTGTTCAGCATTCTTTACAAGGATGAAAGTGTATGGTCTTCTCAAAATGCACTGGGAATCAGAGAGAGTAGGAGTAGAAAATTGCTCAGCAAAGAGTCGTGAGGGTTAGTCAGAGCCCTCGCCATGACCTCTTTCTCAACTCATCATTCCCAGCCTGGGATCCCTTATAGAACTGAGCATGCTTCTCTTTTTGCCTCTATCTTTTTGTCTGGCTTTTCTTGCTCTTTCTTGACACTGTTCCTGCTCTCTTCTCAGGTTTGTTGTGTTTATGGAAAGTCCTATAGAGAGCTTTTCTGCATTTATCTGAGATGGGTCCAGATATAAGAGGCCTTAAGTGTCGTGGTTCAGAGCACAACTAGACTGTGTTATTCTACTTAAACTGTATCATTCTGTTCAATTTTTCTATTTCTTGGTTTTATCAAGGTTGAAAGTAGGAAAATTCAAGTTATAATCTAATGTGATAGTTGAGCATTTAAAATGAGATAATACATATAAAACACTTAGACTAGTGTCTGGAAACTATATCAGCATTTCATGTTAAAAACAAACTTGAATTGCTCTCAGGCAGCTGTTTGATGACCCTCAATCTCTTCTCTTAGAAGACTTTCTGATTTGGAGGTCAGGCAGCTGTGACCCCTCAGATATTTAGACCATTCCCAAATCCTATTTATTATTGACCTTTTTTTCCCCTTGAGGCCCAAACTTTTCATGTATTGAGCAGCCCTTATCTCCTGGGTTTTTCTTTTTCCAAGGAACCGCATTTGAAAGCAAAATTACCAGGTT